AGCGGTGATGTGTATGGGGAGGGGGAGAATTAACGGATCTTTTGATTAGGTGGGTATTTGGAAGACTCTGGGAAACTGGATCTCTAGGACACAGACAAGAATCAGTAAGACACATCTGCAGGTGACAAGAACAAATACCTGTAGTTTGCTCAGTTTTAAAATGTGATGTGTGTGCGCCATTGGAGGTTTGGTATCAACAGCAGGTTTCACTAAAGAAGGATAAGAGAGCAATTTTATGTCAGAGGTGTCCTCTTAGTAGCCTTAGAAAATCTCACATTCTAGACAGTGACCCTGATGAATAAACATTATGATTTTGAATTGACCTTAGTCCAGTTCAGGAATTTTAGTTTAATTTCCCAAACTGACATCTTTGAAGAGTTTTGAGCAGAAATAAACGGATGGTAAGGGCTAGAAAAATTAAAATTTACAGAGATAAATGTCCTTTGAATCCCATGACAGAGCCTCTCTCCCGCCCTTTCCCAATAGGACTAGCTTGTCTATTGCGTGCTGACGTCCCATTCCCTTTCTAGCTTACTTTGGCTTTAAATAATTTAAATGAGCATTTCTATCAAATAAACTCCCTGGTGGAAGATAAATTTTGTCACTGATGCTAATGTCCTCTTGACCCAACTCGGCAGATAAGGCCACATCATCGCAGAGCCCTGTACTGGTCTGGTTTACTGTCAATATCTCTAAGGTGGACCCTTCCTGAACTCCCGGTGGCAGTGTCCAACCAAAGTGCCCACATACCTATTTGTACCCTATTCTTGTGAGATACGTAGTGGCCAAAGTCCAGTTTCTTCCTGAAGTTTGTGCTCTGCCTGTGATTAGAGACGATTACAGGGTAGGCTAGATAATCCAAGGAATTGTTCATCTTTTCCTCCTAGGCTCACTTCAGAAATGAGGCAGCTAGGCCCCTCTGTGAGGTACTTAGCTGTCTCCATGATGGGTTGTCATAGTCACCCAGTTGTGACATCAGGGACAGGTCTCAGTGAAGGAGCAGCAGCAGAGCTGCTGGTTGTCCTTGGGCTTCTCTTTTGAAAGCTAACCATGGCTCAAGTCGAGATGAGGAGCGAGCAAGTTGGAAGCGCTCTCACCTGCCTGGAGGGCAGTTGCCACCAGCAGGAGGAGAAAGAGGTTTGGTGTGCTGGGGGTGGGGTGGGGGTGGGGTGGAGAAAGGCAGCCTTAGGCTATAAATTAGTCTTGGTTTCCCTTAAAAGTGTGAGTCCATAAGCTTTTAGGGGAGGTGAGCCATGATCCAATTTCTTCACTTAGCAGGTGAGGAAACTGAAGTCCTGAGCAGCAGCCAGGCTGCTCAAGATCCAAGTTAGTAGCAGGGCCGGGCTCAGAATGTGGGTTTCCTGAATTCCCAGGATCACACTTGCTTTTTGGAGGGGCCTGTGGATGGGTGGTTGAATCTGCCATTTTCATGGCAGTGGGTAGAGGACAGAGACCGTGTCTTTTGCTCCTAGTGAGATCCGTGAACAATCAGTTGCTGACGTTCTGCGGCTCATAGCGGGCTGGCAAGGAGATGGATTCGTCTCCACCTTAGCCCAGAGTGTGGCACCTAGGGGGTGCTCCACACGTTTGCTGATGGACAGAGAGAACTAACACCTATTCGGTGCTCAGTATTAGTGCTGGACTCTTTCCTTAAATGTCACATTTAATCTTCCAAACAGCCCTAGGAGTTTGAAGTAGTATTATTATCCCTCCTCCCGTTTTCTCTCCCAGCAAACAGGCTCAGAGAACTTAATTCCCCAGGATCAGAATGCCAAACCTGGTTGCACAGAGCCCAAGCCTTTATTTAAGCACCAGGCTGACTCAATGAACGCTGAAAAAAATGCGTCCCCGAGTTGGGCTTCTCAGACTTGGGAGGGCCTGCACCATGCACACTGCCCTTCAGAGGGCCTGGCGCTCTGCACGCTCCTGCGTGATGCCAGCGCGGCTGGTCCGCGGCAGGAGGGGGGAGCTCACAAGCGGAACCCCGGTGTCCCTGGAATCTGACAAAAATCAGCGACACTCGGGTGTAGGAACATTCATCGTGCCCCGCATGTGATCCGATGAAGTTACTGCACGTCCCAGTTTATGACGATACCGGAACCGCCTGGTCTGGGGGGTGG